ATTTGCTAGCAAAGCTTGTATACATATTCTGATGCCAAATTGGGGCCAAATAATGAGTAAGGCTTGCTGGCAAAACTATATAGAAAATTGGCGCCAAATAATGAGCAAGACTGGCTGACAAAACTCCACGGCAAATTGGCGCCAAGTTCCCAGCAAGGTTTACGGACAAAACATCACACCAAATTGTCACCAAATACCGAGCAAAGTTTGGTGACAATACTCCACAGTAAATTGACGCCAAATACCGAGCAAAGCTTAGCGATAAAACCCTACAGCAAATTGACGCCAAATACCGAGCAAAGCTTAGTGACAAAATTCCACAGCAAATTGGCACCAAATATCGAGCAGATTCTGCCATATTCATTTACTACACTCCCACTCTACCCTCCTACTTCAACCAGGTAGGTTAGGTTCAAGTAAAGCGAGGAGCGCAGATTTTGGGCAAGTGTATAATGTACAATGCAAAAGCAAATGAATTTATTAGAATCATTCATTGTTTACGTACAGCTGGAAATGACTTCTGATAATGCATTTACTTGTCAATTATACAGGGTGTTATAAAAGTCCGGGAAGAGCAGAATAACTCGAAAAATATGAGCCCTAGAAAAAATGCGAAGTACTGGCTTTTTATGATTTTTTCCTGGCTATCTGACGGTGACCTTGGATTTGACCTTGACAATGACCTTGAAGGTCATTTCTAGGTCAGGTCAATTTTTTTAAATGGGAACCCATACTTTTGAGCCCAAAAATGAAAAGAGCGAAAAATTTTACGTTCGGATATGACCTTAAACACTGCCAAATTGACCTCTGGAGGTCACATAAAGGTCTAAGCTTGTTTTAGGCTGAAAACGCGAATATCTTCGAAAATGCACCTGCTAGGGAGCAATGTTACGCATAAGAATAAGAATATAGAGGTTAACGAGGGACATTCAGCCGTGACCTTGCCCTTATTCTCAAGGTCATGAGTTAAGATTATTATTAAGGTCAAACCGGACTTTTTTAGGACTGAAAATCCATACTTTTAACCTAAAAGTGTCAAGGTTGAAAAATTTTACGTTCGGATGACGTTTTCAACCTTGACCTGTCAAACACACTGTCAAACGGTCAATGGGGAACATTTTGAACATCTCTTGTAATCTCAGGCCGAGTTACAAGATGCTTTGCCTTCGGTAGCCGGAACTAACTGAACCTTGCCTTCAGTGGTCGGGTTTGAGATACCTTGCCTTCAGTGGTCGGGTTTGAGACACCTTGCCTTCAGTGGTCGGGTTTGAGACACCTTGCATTCAGTGGTCGTGTTTGAGACACCTTGCCTTCAGTGGTCGGGTTTGAGACACCTTGCCTTCAGTGGTTGGGTTTGAGACACCTTGCCTTCAGTGGTCGGGTTTGAGACACCTTGCCTTCAGTGGTCGGGTTCCGAGACGCTTTACTTTCAGTAGACTTCACGATCAGTGAAGTAACATAAACTCATAATTTTGAGAACAAGGTCAAGGTTGAAAACGTCATATCCGAACGTAAAATTTTTCAATCTTGACACTTTTAGGTCAAAAGTATGGATTTTAAATCCTAAAAAATCCGGTTTGACTTTAATAATAATCTTAACTCATGACCTTGAGAATAAGGGCAAGGTCATGGCTGAATGTCCCTCGTTGACCTCTACATTCTTATTCTTATGCGTAACATTGCTCCCTAGCAAGTGCATTTTCGAAGATATTCGCGTTTTCAGCCTAAAACAAGCTTAGACCTTTATGTGACCTCCAGAGGTCAAATTTGGCAGTGTTCAAGGTCATATCCAAACGTAAAATTTTCCGCTCTTTTCATTTCTGGGGTCAAGTGTATGGGATCCCACTTAAAAAATTGACCTGACCTTGAAATGATCTTCAAGGTCATTGTCGAGGTCAAATCCAAGGTCACCGTCAGATAGCTAGGAAAAAATCATAAAATCTCAGTACTTCGCATTTTTTCTAGAACTCATATTTTTCGAGTTATTCTGCTCTTCCAGGACTTTTATAACACCCTGTATATTATAAGCGACTGTATGGGATAACAACAGGTAACTGTTAACTGTTAACTCCTATAAGTAACTGTAGGAACTATTAAAGTTGTTGTAATATTAGAAGTTTATTAATGAATTAATTTTTATTTCTTATATTTCAGGACCGATTTTGTAAATATATATATAGGATGCTAAATTTCAAACGTAACAGGTAAGAAATCTCAAAAACTATGAAAGATATTAAAAAAAGCTAAAACACATGCTAAAAAAAGCTAAAAAACCAATGTTCTATGATTTCGAAGGGGAAAGAGAATGGCATTATTAGTTTTTTATTCGGAAGGCATTTTCAAAGTTGGTTGAAGGTCAACTTAATTTTTTTAAGTTGGAAGCCCAATTTTTTATTATATCTCCTTTTTCTACCAATTAAAGATGACCAACGTTCTGGCCGACCTTCTGAAGTTGATAAAGACAAAATGAAAGCCATAATTGAATCAAATCGTCATATAACTGTGCGAGAGATTGCAAAAAGGTTAAATGTGTCACATAGAACAATTGAAAATCACATAAGACGTCTTGAACTCGTTAAGAAGCTGGATATTTGGGTACCGCACGAATTGAAAAAAATTCATTTAACACAACGGATAAATATTTGCGATACGTATTTCAAACGTAATGCAATCGATCCTTTTTTGAAGCGAATTATCACTGGTGATGAAAAATGGATCGTCTACAACAACATTAATCGAAAAAGATCATGGTCAAAGCATGATGAACCGGCACAAACCGTATCGAAAGCTGAATTGCATAAAAAAAGATCATGCTGTCAATTTGGTAGGATTACAAAGGTGTTGTGTATTTTGAGATGCTTCCAAGCAACCAAACGATCAACTCAGATGTTTACTGCCAACAGCTTATGAAATTGGAGGAAGCAATCAAAGAGAAAAGGCCAGAATTGGCAAATCGTAAAGGAATCGTGTTCCACCGCGACAATGTGAGGCCCCATACATCTTTAGCAATAAGTACGAAATTATTGGAACTTGGTTGGGAAGTGATGTCGCATCCTCCATATAGCCCCAACCTTGCACCATCGGATTATTATTTATTTCGAAGTTTACAAAACTTTTTAAACGGTAAAAATTTCAACAACAACGATGATCTCAAACCGCACTTGGTTGAGTTTTTTGCTGATAAGGACCAGCAGTTCTATAAGCGCGGAATCATGAAGCTACCAGAAAGATGGAAAAAGGTCATCGAACAGGATGGAAAATATTTGACCGATTAAAGTTCATTTTTTGTATAGAAAAAATTGAGTTTTATTTCACACTAAAAAACTGAAATTACTTTCTTGCCAACCCAATAGTTCAAGGAATATTCCATATCAATACGGCGGTTACATATATATAACGCCAACAAAGCGGAATATCTCTTCTTGTGAAATTGCATTCGCGTAATCCGCCTTAATGCTTGATGCATCTTTACTTATTTATAATAAAAGTTAGACGGCCTGATTGCAAAATCTGGCTTTGTGAGGATCTTGGGAATAGTTTTAGAGATATGCTATAACAATATGTTGATGACATATTACATCAGTGAAGGAATATATCTCATTTTGTACAATGCTATTATACATGATCCGCTCCGACGCTTCATACATCTTTATTTATTTATGATACATTTTTCACGGCCTGACTGCAAAATCTGGTTCTGTAGGTTTCTCGGGGATAGTTCAAAGAAGATGATATAACAATTTGGCGGTGAAACATATCGTCAACGAGGTGGAATTTTGCATCTCCTACAATGATTTTTCGATTGATTCACTCCAACGCCTGGTACGACGGGCACTTTATTTATATATTATAAATTTTTGACGATCGGATTGCAAAATTCGGCTTTGTACCGATCTCGGGAATAGCACGAAGAAGATGCTGCAACAATTTGGTAATAATACCGTCAAAGAGAGTATCGTCAAAGAGACGAAATATTGCATCTCGTAAAATGATATTTCGAGTGATTCGCAGCGACGCTTGGTACAGCGGACGCTTTATTAATGTATGATAAATTTTTGACGGCCGGATTGTAAGATCTGGCTCTATAGGGTTCTCAGGGATAGTTCATGGAAGATACCATAATAATTCGGCGGTTATATATATTGTCAACGAGGCAATATATTTGTTCTTGTAAAATTGTATTCCGCCTGATTCGCTGCGATATTTGGTACAGCTGACGCTTTAATTATGTATAATAAATTGTTGACGGCCTGTTTGTAAAATCTAACTCTGTAGAGATCTCGGCAATAGTTGTAGGAAGATGCTAAAACAAGTTCATGGTCATATATTACGTCAACAAGGCAAAATATTGCTTCTTGTAAAATGGTATTCCACCTGACTCACTGCAACTCCTGGTACGGCTGATGCTTTATTTATATATATTATAAATTTTGGACGGCCGGATTGCATAATCTGGCGATGTAAGGTCCTCAGGGATCAGTTTAAGGAAGGTGCTATAACAGTTTAGCAATTATACGTATCGTTAACGAGGCAAAATTTTGCATCTCGTAAAATAATTTTTGGAGTGATTCGCTACGATGCTTGGTACAGCAGACTCACTTATTTTTCATAAACTTTGGACGGCCAGATTGTAAAATCTCTGAAATGGGACATTTCTTCGGTGGTACTAAAATTCAATATGGCGTCATGTGTTAATGTGTGTGTATGTATAGCTGTCTATGTATACATATTAACACGTATGCGCGTGTAGTATATATAGGAAATACGAGGAATATTAGTGCGAAGTAAAAATGCAGAAAATAATGTGTATTCTGTGAAATGTATATATTTGACGAAAAAAATGTAAATATGTATACATAAAGAAAATATTAATACCTTAAACATAAATATAAGGACAATAATTAGTTAATAATACTAAATTTTATAATAATATTAAAAGAAATTTGTAATAAAATTGTATATTATCGCTGTCCCTAAAATGGTTGTAGCATACTCATAACTTTTTCTCCTCAGGTCCCTCCACTGGCTCCATTTTCAAATTCTTGAACCAATGGTTGCGTTCAGAAAACAAAGTGCTCACTGAGCGCTTAGTAACTATTGGTCCTTACTGTTAGATCCTTACATTCAGACCAATAACGTTGACGAATTACTCAACCGTTGTGTAACCGTTGTGTTTTTTGAACGCAGCCATTGTAGCCTACGTTCAGCATTTCGTGGGAATTTATGCGATGGTGCTGTCTTCCCTGTCGAACATCCTGGTACACAACATACTCGTACCATCTTGATCCCGCTGTTATGAGACCTATAAAAAAAATAAACCTGTATTTAGTTAAACAGATATTTGCATCATCAATATACAATATTACAGTATCATGCATACTCAAATAAAACAAGTTGTTTGTCACTAACAGGGAAAAGATTTTGATGGTTCTTGAGTAACCGTTTCTTCTTGTTTTTTCTTCTTCCCTTGTTGAAATCTTTTTGTAGTCCTTCTGCAAGAGAGAGAGAGAGAGGGAGAGGGAGAGGGAGAGGGAGAGGGAGAGGGGGAGGGAGAGGGAGAGGGACAGGGACAGGGACAGGGAGAGGGAGAGGGAGAGGGAGAGAGAGAGAGAGAAAGCGAGAGTACATAAATATCTTCATAAATTATATATATATATATATATATATATATAACGCATATACTAATATCACATATGTTCACAATCGTAATCCTACATATCACAATGAACATAAGTATAATTAATAAAGAATAGAAATGTTTTAAATAGTTTCTATATGGTTAAATAGTTTTCTGTTTTAATTTTTCTTTGAATTTCTTTCATTTTTTCCTGTAACTTCTTCTTTTCTTCTGCTAATTTTTTTTTTCTTCTTGCAACATTTTATTTTTTATTATCTTTTCTTCTTTTATGTTTTATTGATGTTCCTTTTCAAGTTGCGCCTTCCACTATTCATCAGAAGTTCCAGCAGATAGTAATTTAGCTTTACCAGAAGCTTCTAACTTAACTCTTTTTTTTGGCAAATATTTATGTGGCAAAGTAAAAGCGTTAGCGAAACTTTTATTTTTATTGTCGCTATTGCTATCTGTAAATAAAAATTTGTGCATAACCCATAATTATATCATATAATATCAAATTGAAGCTTTCCTTTCAAATAGAAAAAATCAACCTTCATTGAAAAATATTTTTTCATTCTCCTTGTTTTCTCCGACAACATTTTTTCCTTCATTATTTGCAATAGAAATTACATTATTTATGCTGATTTCTTTTCGTTGTAGTTTATCTTGTAAGAGATTATCAGATATATCCACATTTGCGTCGAAAATAAGCTCTAAAAGAAATATGATTTAAAAATTAAGTTTCGCATTTACAGATATTACAATTTTACATAAAATGAATTTTTATACCTGCTTGACTATTCAATACTTCAATATTGCTTTCGAAATTACTGTGAATGATGTCTATGACTTCAAGCGGATTAGGATTCAGTGTTGAATTTTGTATATCATTGGAGTGAAAACTAGAAGTTCCATAACTATTTTCTACTGGTGTGATGTATTCATTTTTCAAATAATTCTGTTCAAGAAATTTCTACTATAATCACATTGTTAATGATTGAGTCAGTGCTTTGTTGATCACATGATGGCATATTTTTTTCTAAAAGTTTAACTGTTTCTTCAAATAAGTGATGTATGATTACTTTATGATTTTCTAGTTTATCATTACTCTTAATTGTAGGCTTTATTTTAACACTTTCTTCTGTAATTGTAAAAAACCGTACCACATAATTAGTATAAAAGATCAACATCGTATAAAGGGATATAAAATATAAATCGGTCCAATTATATATAAATATTATAAAAAATTACTTTTCTAAATAATTAATGGACTGTAAAGATTAAACTGATTTTATAAATGCAAAATATATGTGTCAATGCTTATTGAATTTGTAAATATTATATAAAATTAGTTTGTAAATAGTTGATAAATTTGTAAATAATAGATTGATTCTATAAAAAATATATCTAATTAGTGAAAGTTAAATTGAAAATATTGATCAGTGCAATAATTCACTGTCATTAACTTAAATAATCATTATAATATAACCTTTTTTTTAATTTTAAGCCAATATTCAAAGAGTCCTTTCTTCTCAATACTGCCAGTTCATATCTCAGTTGCCTCAGCAGTTTTAAATTTTTGTAATAATTCAGGATGTAAGGTTTTCTCAAACATTTGCAGATAATGGTCTTTATCTTTGTTCTTATCTTCGTATAGTATATTTGAAACTAATTGCTGATTCGCTGCTAAATTTTCATTTTCTTCTGATTGATGATTTTCTTCTGAAACAGTCGTCTTCTTTTTCTTACGTAGTATATCGTATTCCACAGCATCAGGATTAAATGGCATTAATCCACAAGTCTTAAAGCCACTTTGTACAATTTCACGTTCTTCTGTAAAAGAGTCCAATGCTATTTTTAACACTGCAGGAAATTGTCCTTTCCTTAACCGCAAAATGCTATTTTGAAGTTTCCATTTGGGCACGGTTTTTCTCCAAACATTTTTGAATGGGTGAAAAAATGTGACGTCAAGAGGCTGTATAATATGCGTGGCGTTTGAATATAGTGATATCAATTCAATTTTATCCTCTCTGCAAAACGATACTAGAGGTATAGTCACATGTGACGAATGCCCATCCAAGTATAAAACAATTGGAAAATGGATGTTTTCTTTCAACAACCATGGATAGAACACATTACTTATGTATTCATAGAACGTCTCTTTTGTCATCCAGCCACTTTCAGAAATCCCAATGCCTCAGCCACTTGGAAAATGCTCGAGTACTTTCTCTGGTACACTCTCTTTATAAGGATATATCAGATGTAGTAAAAAGAAATCCATTATTTTTGCATGAAATTGAAGGCTTTAATTACCATAGTTAGAATGATCCGATTTAGGTCAAATATGCGCCGTTTTGTTCGATAATTTGTTGCCATTTTGAAGGTAATTTCATTATGCCTCTCTCATAGAATGCCCTCGTGCCTATTGGCAAAAAATTGAGACAGTCGATTTTCACAAGCCTCTCTTGAAGCGAATTTTTCACCAGCAAAATTATTCGCCATGGACAGGAACAGATGGTAATCACTTGGTGCCAGGTCCGGACTATAAGGTGGATGCATAAGAACCTCCCAATCAAGCTCCCGGAGCTTCTGGCGAGTCACTATCGATGTGTGTGGCCTGGCGTTGTCCTGATGGAACACAATTCCTCTCCTATTGGCCAAAGCTGGCCGCTTCTGGGCGATTGCTTCCTTCAGACGGTCCAATTGTTGACAGTACAGTTCCGAGTTAAGAGTTTTGCCGTAGGGGAGCAGCTCATAGTAGATAATTCCCTGCCAATCCCACCAAACACACAGCAAAACCTTCCTAGCCGTCAATCCTGGCTTGGCCACCGTTTCCGCCGGCTCACCGCGATTCGACCACGACCGTTTTCGCTTGACGTTGTCGTAAGTGATCCACTTTTCATCACCAGTGACCATCCGCTTCAGAAATGGATCGATTTTGTTGCGATTCAGCAGCGATTCGCAGATGGAAATTCGGTCCATGAGGTTTTTTTTCGTTAACTCGTGTGGCACCCATACATCGAGCTTCTTTTTGTATCCAGCCTTATTCAAATGGTTCCAAATGGTTTTTTGTGCAATCTTTAGCTCTTGGGCAATCGAAACAGTGCTTACATGACGGTCGGACTCGACAATGTCCATGATTTTATCGATATTTTCGACAATTGGCCTTCCAGTGCGTGGTGCATCTTTGACATCGAAATTACCGGAACGGAATCGACGAAACCAAAATTGCGCGTGATTGACTGTTACAGTATCAGGACCATAAACACTATTCACATTTTCAGCCGCCTGGCTTGCGTTTTCGCCTTTATCGAAGAAAAAACACCTAATATTAGGCGTAGTAAAAAGAAATCCATTATTTTTCCAATAGATGGCTTTAGTTATCTGTATCTCGCGTTGTATAAGTCCGATCGGGTTCCACTGGATAGCGTTAGAAAGATGAGATTTCGTATTAAAAAACTTTTCTGACAGTTTTGTGATTAGTTGACTCAGTTTTGTTTGACCATGCGTCAAAGATGGACACTAGCAAAGAGAAAATACGCTATATTTTACAGTTTTTCTTCGATAAAGGCGAAAACGCAAGCCAGGCGGCTGAAAATGTGAATAGTGTTTATGGTCCTGATACTGTAACAGTCAATCACGCGCAATTTTGGTTTCGTCGATTCCGTTCCGGTAATTTCGATGTCAAAGATGCACCACGCACTGGAAGGCCAATTGTCGAAAATATCGATAAAATCATGGACATTGTCGAGTCCGACCGTCATGTAAGCACTGTTTCGATTGCCCAAGAGCTAAAGATTGCACAAAAAACCGTTTGGAATCATTTGAATAAGGCTGGATACAAAAAGAAGCTCGATGTATGGGTGCCACAAGAGTTAACGAAAAAAAACCTCATGGACCGAATTTCCATCTGCGAATCGCTGCTGAATCGCAACAAAATCGACCCATTTCTGAAGCGGTTGGTCACTGGTGATGAAAAGTGGATTACTTACGACAACGTCAAGCGAAAACGGTCGTGGTCGAATCGCGGTGAGCCGGCGGAAACGGTGGCCAAGCCAGGATTGACGGCCAGGAAGGTTTTGCTGTGTGTTTGGTGGGATTGGCAGGGAATTATGTACTATGAGCTGCTCCCCTATGGCAAAACTCTTAACTCGGAACTGTACTATCAACAATTGGACCGTCTGAAGGAAGCAATCGCCCAGAAGCGGCCAGCTTTGGCCAATAGGAGAGGAATTGTGTTCCATCAGGACAACGCCAGGCCACACACATCGATAGTGACTCGCCAGAAGCTCCGGGAGCTTGGTTGGGAGGTTTTTATGCATCCACCTTATAGTCCGGACCTGGCACCAAGTGATTACCATCTGTTCCTGTCCATGGCGAACAATTATGCTGGTGAAAAATTCGCTTCAAGAGAGGCTTGTGAAAATCGACTGTCTCAATTTTTTGCCAATAGGGACGAGGGCTTCTATGAGAGAGGCATAATGAAATTACCTTCAAAATGGCAACAAGTTATCGAACAAAACGGCGCATATTTGACCTAAATCGGATCATTCTAACTATGGTAATTAAAGCCTTCAATTTCATGCAAAAATAATGGATCTCTTTTTACTACACCTGATATAATCAAAGGAGGAGTTCTAGTACCTTCGACATTATACATAAACAACGATGTAATACTTTCTTTATCGTTGGCACCGACTACTTTATAAACTGAGCGTGTACCTTTTTCCACAAGAACTTTCTCTGGCTTGGGACACAGCTGAATATTAGTTTCATCGCAATTAAATATTCTAGAAGGATGGATGTAGAGCAGATCTTTAATTGTCAAGTAGGTTTTTATTTCTTGAAACCACTCTCTTAGATCTTGTTCAGTAACTGAGGCTCGTACAAATGTTAGATGTTGAGCTGTTCTAATTGACAAATTAGGATGTCGTTTTTGAAAGCCCTCATACCAATGTCGTCCTGGCCTATTGTTGGTGAAAAGAGTATTCTTTTTAAGACATGTTATACAGGTTTGCACACTGTCCAATAATTCTGTTTTAGTTATTGGGAAGCCCCTCTCAGCTCTATATTGAATCCAATTGACAATCTCAGCTTCTTCTTCTTCTGACAACACTGTCGGTGATCCACTCATACTATCTATCTTTTCTGGATTCTTGAATTTTATAAAAAGAATTGTTAGAGGAATTCCGTATGTATCTGCAGCTTTTCTCACTGATATTTCTTCAGCTATTGCCTGCAGAGCAGAGTGGAGTACATCAGGCGAATATTTTTTCATCTCCTTCTTTTTACCACTTTTTGTGCTTCTCTTAACTTTATTCTTTGAATTTTTTTTCATTTCTTCTTAATCTCCGCTCTTGCTTGAAACAAAATTTTTAAATATTTATAGGTAAAAATTGAATTTATTTGTCAAATTTTACTGTCATTTTTTGTCATATTTAACTGTCAAATTTTGAGGTTATCTTGTTTACATGTTACTTTCTAACAAA